ACTCTCTGTGTGGAGTGATACACAGAATTGCCTTTTCACATTATCTTAAGTGAGGTCTGAGGCAGACAGCAGGCAGATGGAGGCCCCGGGAAGGCGGCTGTTACGATGAACTGCAGCAAAGGGACGTATCTGGTGGCTTTAAAACCCTAGGGAGAAAAATAAACAGTTGATTACTATGGCCGCTTTCTCAGATTTTCTTTTGGAGGCACCTAAATGAAAGAGGGGCGGTGGGTCTAGGTTTGCAGCAATTAGACTTCTCAGTTGGAGTCACCTGCTACATAGCCCTTAGGACCTGCTTGGGTACCATCAGAGAGGGCCCCGAAATGACAGGTGGGAGGTGGAGGGCAAAGATGCTCCCTAGCAAAACATCCATTTTGCTGCACAATGTTGAGTACTAGAGAGAGTAATAAAAAGCGGAAAACGTGATCCGTCTTAACTATCCCACTCACTTGGCAAGGCACATCTTATTGGAGAAGGGCTCCGACTTCGAGATATCTGGAAAATATAAAAGTGTAACGTGAATTACATAGCAGATGGAGCTCAGAAGATGAATCCTTTTGACGTTTTGGTCCTAAAACCAGCTAAATAATTGGCTCCGAGGAACTTTAGAACTGTGATTTTTCTTCCCTTTACAGTTGACCACGTGATCTTTTTATACTGCCTTAAGGAAATGGGCCCTCAGTTTGGTTTAAATTATACTATTCACTAAACGCTGGGTAAAATGGCCTAAGAGCAGCCATATTGAATTCAATTGCTTTTTACAAAATAAAAATAATCATTATAATTAACTAATTAAAGCTAAAATGATGATATAATCTCTGGCAGATCCTTTATCTATATTATCTCACATGTCCAGAGCTCTGCCTTATTAAGGAAGGTCACCAAGCAGCCAGAAGAGAATCATTTTCCAAACTTCACCTTTACTTCCACTAAGCAAAAGGTACCAACTGTGACTACAGGGCCGTTATCTCTCAGGCATAAGGCTACAAGCATCATTCTTTTTTTTTCTTTTTTTTTTTTTTTTAGACAGAGTCTCACTCTGTTGCCCTGGTTAGAGTGCCGTGGCGTCAGCCTAGCTCACAGCAACCTCAAACTCCTGGGCTCAAGCGATCCTACTGCCTCAGCCTCCCAAGTAGCTGGGACTACAGGCATGCGCCACCATGCCCGGCTAATTTTTTCTATATATTTTTAGTTGTCCAGATAATTTCTTCTTTCTATTTTTGGTAGAGACGGGGTCTCGCTCTTGCTCAGGCTGGTCTCGAACTCCTGAACTCAAACAATCTGCCCGCCTCGGCCTCCCAGAGAGCTAGGATTACAGGCGTGAGCCACCACGCCCGGCCCAAGCATCATTCTTGCTCTGAGTTTTCAAACACATCAGATGAACAGATGCTAACGAAGATAGAATCTGTTCTGGATGGTCCAATACCTCAAATAAGCCACAAAAAAGAACCTAACCATAAATATTTAATTTTTGATCATGCAGGTGTACCCAGTTTTATTGTAGTGAAAGGATGACAGAAAGAGACAGAAAGTTGGTAGTAGTTTCACCTTTGAGACTGTATTTTCTTCTCATCTAACGTTTAATTTGTTCTTCCTGAGCAAAAAAATGAGAAAGAGAAAGAAGGTGGTTCGAACGTGTCTAGCAGCTCATCGCAGAGGACATTGCCACGGCTGAGCCTTCCACTGAGAGCCCGGAGTTACAGTCTGCCCTGGCGATAGCACGGTAAGAATCTGATCTTACTCTTTCTCCTGATACACCTTCTCCTCTTGGGATGGGGAGAACTGTGATTTTCCCAGGACAGTGCTCTCAAGATTTCCTTTTTATTTCTCAATCCACCGAATGCACTATCCTTTTGCTTTTCCCTACTGTAATACTTATTTGTAAATAATGATAATTAAACTATATTAAGATCTCCCCAAGCAAAAGGACTGTGTCAGATGCATGACTTTTCCATTTCCCCACCATTTCTTAGGCCATTTTCTTCACCCGAATCCTCCTCTCAGTTCCCCAGCCCATTGAAATTCCACCCATTCTGAAAGGCCAAATCAAACACCCACCCCCTCATGAATCCCTTCCTCATTACCAAATCCAGAAGGAATCTCGATCTCCTTTGATGGTTCCAGCCCTTTGTGCTTCGTTATGGACTGCATCGTATTGTGTTGCACTATGGACTTAGTGATGTATAGACTGTATCACATTCAGTTAATTTGTTTAAATCATATTGATCTTCCTATATTGGGACCCATTCAGGGAAGAGACCATCTTTTAGTCATTTCTGTGTCCCTCTCAAATCTAGCACCACCAGATACAGAAGGAATGTTTGATAAGGAGCGTGCTGAAGCCATGATAAATGCTCACTAAACTCAGTAAGGAAGCTGGGTCTTAGGAACTGCTGGGGTTTTTGTTTTTGTTTGTTTGTTTGTTTTTGTTTTTGCCAAGGCG